TCTATACTGCCTAGAGCCATCTATACTTTTAATGCCATTCCGATCAAAATTCCACCGTATTTTTCAAAGAGCTGGAGCAAATAATCCTAAAATTTGTATGGAACCAGAGGAGACCCCGAATCGCTAAGGAAATGTTGAAAAACAAAAATCAAACTAGGGGCATCACATTACCTGATTTCAAGGTTTACTACAAAGCTGTGATCACCAAGACAGCATGGTACTGGCATAAAAACAGACACATAGACCAGTGGAACAGAGTAGAAAGCCCAGATATGGACCCTCAACTCTATGGTCAAATAATCTTCGACAAAACAGGAAAAAATATACAGTGGAAAAAAGACAGTCTCTTCAATAAATGGTGCTATAGAACCATTCAATAAATATAGCTGTAGAAGAATGAAACTCGACCATTCTCTTACACCGTACACAAAAATAAACTCAAAATGGATAAAAGACCTCAACGTGAGACAAGAATCCATCAGAATCCTAGAGGAGAACATAGGCAGTAATCTCTTTGATATCAGCCACAGCAACTTCTTTCAAAATATGTCTCCAAAGGCAAAGGAAACAAAAGCCAAAATAAACTTTTGGGACTTCATCAAAATCAAAAGCTTCTGCACAGCAAAGGAAACAGTCAACAAAACAAAGAGGCAACCCACAGAATGGGAGAAGATATTTACAAATGACAGTACAGACAAAAGGTTGATATCCAGGATCTATAAAGAACTCCTCAAACTCAACACACACAAAACAGACAATCATATCAAAAAATGGGCAGAAGATATGAACAGGCACTTCTCCAATGAAGACATACAAATGGCTCTCAGACACATGAAAAAATGTTCATCATCACTAGCCATCAGGGAGATTCAAATTAAAACCACATTGAGATACCACCTTACACCAGTTAGAATGGCCAAAATTAGCAAGACAGGAAACAACATGCGTTGGAGGGGATGTGGAGAAAGGGGAACCCTCTTACACTGTTGGTGGGAATGCAAGTTGGTGCAGCCACTTTGGAGAACAGTGTGGAGATGCCTCAAGAAATTAAAAGTAGAGCTTCCCTATGACCCTGCCATTGCACTACTGGGTATTTACCCCAAAGATACAGATGTAGTGAAAAGAAGGGCCATCTGTACCCCAATGTTTATAGCAGCAATGGCCACGGTCGCCAGTCTGTGGAAAGAACCAAGATGCCCTTCAACGGACGAATGGATAAGGAAGATGTGGTCCATATACACTATGGAGTATTATGCCTCCATCAGAAAGGATGAATACCCAACTTTTGTAGCAACATGGGCAGTACTGGAAGAGATTATGCTGAGTGAAATAAGTCAAGCAGAGAGAGTCAAAAATTATCTTTAAAAAACAAAAGCTTGTTTGGACCAAACCTACAGCCATCTTCCTAGTGCAGATGATCCATCCTGATGGTCCCTCGGTTCAACAGTGACGAGTGAGAACAGTGCACAATGAGATTGTTAAACACACTCAGATTTCTAGGTTCTTTCATGCCACACTTGCTAGTATCAAGTTCATTTAAACCTATTTATAGGTCAGATCAATGGCTCATCACACAATCTGGATCTTAACTGATAAATTTCTAGACATGAAAAATTGGCTACTGCTATATTGACATGCAGAGAAAATGACTTAAAAATTGTAATTGACTATCCACTCCTGAGTCATCTGTTTAAGGGCTTTTCTGAGAGTAGTTACTCAACAGTAGGTCTCAAGATGTCGATTATAGACTCTCCACTAATGACCACCTGGACAAGTGGAAGCCCATAGGAATCCCAGGATAGTACCATTAGAGTCAGATGGTGATGACACTTAACACTAACACAAGGGCCCTTCTCTCTATATCTCCCAGTGGATTTTGAGAAAAATCGGAGAATCTGCCTAGTTTTACCAACTTCTAGTTGGTATCTAGCTCCTCAGTGATACTATGGTCAGAGTTAAATAGAGTTGGGTTTGCACCCTTGGACCATTTGAAAACTGGTGGTAGCTGACATGTATCTTCAGTCTTAGCCACAAGAATAGGATACAAACAAACTCTTTTTAGTACATTAGTTTTTCTAGTACTATGTGCTAAGTAATTTTGAAACAAATTTAGAAGTATTACAGGATTAAGCAAATAAGTGTGTTGATGTTACTCAAGATTATTCTTTATACTACAAAAGAAAGGACACATGCATATAAAACAGAGGAAGGCAAGAACAGGCTGCAAGGAGATGGACTGGAACGAAACATGTCTATAAAGAACTTATTATTTCTTTTTTAAAAAAAATTATTTATTTGAAAGAGAGATGAGTGAAAGAGAGACCATGAGCAGGGTGGGGGAGAGAAGCAGACTCCCCTGCTGAGCAGGAAGACTGATTCTCGATCCCAGGATTCTGCAATTGATCTGAGCCAAAGGCAGTCGCTTAACCACTGAGCCACTCAGGCACTCAAGAACTTATTATTTCTAAATATGTGTGTGTGTGTGTGTGTGTGTGTGTGTGTGTGTGTGTGTGTATGCCTCACTATATGTGTGTGTGGGGATAGATGATGATGATAGACAAATTTTATATTTTATATATATATGTATATATACACATGCGTGCACGCGTGCGCACACACACACACACACACACACGCCTCATAAGAGAAAGCTGCCTTCTCCACACCTGATATCCAGGGCAATCTCCGGAAGGAGTTGTTGTCAAGGATTCATGTCCCTCTGGGCTGTGCATATTCTTACACATTCTGCATACCTACCCTAGGCACCTGCATTCAGAAGGCTCTTTATGAAAGGTGAATGGCCTTAGCTGAGACATTATTCAAGTACCTCTACCAAAACCAACTTATTAGGTAACTTGAAGATGTATTTATCCATCCTTAGTATTTTTTTCCTCCTCGACTTTCCACCCCTTCTTTCCCTGGTCCCAAGTTCCATAAAACAGCTACTTAACAACACTTTCTCAATTGAGAAGATAGATGGGCTCTCTACCAAGAAGCCCAAGAAAAGTTATATGCCACTGAGGGTGCAAGAGGATTTTCCCTAGGGTCTGCAGTGATAGCCCTATGATTAATATTAGGTTATATTTCCTATACATGTTCTAATAAATCTTGAGATGAATGAAAAACCCTGCCCACTTTAAGCCCTAATGTTCAGTTTTTAAACATAAACAAATATAAACAAAACTATATATCAGGCCAAGGGCTCTATGTCCTTATCAGAGAAAGAAGGCCCTATACCAAAGTCAGAGTTCAAGTGAACATGGAGAAGAATTACATTTGGGATTTTGGATACCGGCACAAAAGTATCTATGATCTACACAATCTATGATATCAGAAAGAGGGGAAAATAATAATCCTTTCTGGCTTAGAGTATGAAGCCAAGACCAGACTCTTATCCAGACTCGCCTATGTGTAGAACCAATGGGCCAACACAGACAGACCTCTATTGGCATGGTGCTCACTACTGAGTGCACTACTGGTATAAATATATTGTCTATGTTAACCTCTGTTTTCCTTGAAAGGAACTTTTTCAGTTAAGACTTAGTGGGATATGTAGAAGGATATGTGTACCAACTCATCTATCAGCCTCTAGTGCTTTTGCCTCTCAAATATAACTTCCTGAGGGGGAAAAAAATACCTGCTATCATTTTGTGCTTCGGGAAGACAAAATTCCCCCAAATGACCTACGTACAAGGTTTTGGGTTTCTGGAATCTCAATTAATTATAGGTAGTTTAATGCTGCAGTGCAGCCTTGACGCCAGTAGTGCCCAACATTATGACTGTCACAGAGGCTGTCTTCCAAGATGAGGGAATTTGGTATGCAGCAACTGACATCACAAATGCCCTTTTCAATACTGCTTTCAGTTTACCCTTATGTGGACTGGGCTGCAATACACCATTACTGATCTTCCAGAGGAGTCCTTAAATTCCCTCTCTGACATAAAGGTCATCAGATCCATAACCTGGAAAAAAGTCCCATTACCAGAGAGAGGGACAACTAACCTTCCTATTAATGACATCATCCAAATGGAGCCAGAAAAAGGCACCAGCAAATAAGGATTGGACACCACATTAATCTGGACATGATACAAGGACCTGAAACCTAAGTGAAATTCCAGGGCATCATATGGGAAGGGCCACAATGTCTTACTTGAGAGTAGACAATTTCCAAGCTTTTGGCTTTCTCTGGCCCAATAAATGCAAGGAGTCTCAACAATTACTGGTACTATTTGTCTACTGGTGATTCACACTCCTCAGAAATATCTTGATGGCAGTCAAATATCGGGTTACCATAAAGATGTCTACATTTGAGTGAGACATGATAGATGGATGCCTTGGAGATCCTCTGAGAGATCTATTAGCTACCCTTCCCTTTCATCACTATTATACACATTTTCCATCTGAGTTATAAGTCTTAGCACATCTCTGTGTACCAGTTTTAGGCTATGCTGAAAGACAAAGCCACTAGTCAAGGGCAACCACTGCATTTATGGACCCATAATTTCCTGGAGTGACCTCGTAAGTATAAACCCTTTGAGAGTCACTTGATGGCCTGTTACTGAGTCATGGCTGAGTATATGATCCATGGCCATAAAATAATCTTAGTCCCAAAACGCCATCTAAGATGTATCAATACTTTTGTTTCTGTTCACTAATTATCATAGGGTATTAATACTTTAGGATAAAGTATAAAGTGTAAAAATTCTATAACGTGTGCTCAAATACATATTCATGAACCAAATAAAAAGGACCATCAGGTGAGTTTAATTTAAAATATTTCAGGGGTGCCTGGGTGTCTCAGTGGGTTAAAGCCTCTGCCTTTGGCTCAGGTCATGATCCCAGGGTCCTGGGATCAAGCCCTGCATTGGGCTTTCTGCTCAGTGGGGAGCCTGCTTCCCTCTCTCTATCTACCTGACTCTCTGCCTACTTGTGATCTCTGTCTGTCAAATAAATAAATAAAATATTTTTAAAAATAAATAAATAAATAAAATATTTTAATGTTAGCTACGGTTGTTATACTTACCAGAGAGTCCTTCCCCTCTGAGAGTTCTTTGTTTCTTTACTTGCTGTTGGGTTTTTGACATTGAATCCTGATTCTTATGCATGAGCTTTTCATCTGGTACTTTATCATGAGCTACATTAGGAGATACATTTAGTCCACTAAATGGAAAAACATATTTATTGTGAAATCTCTAGATTACAAATTAATAATAATTGTGCAGGATTTTCTCTCATTTTTGTAAAGTTTTAAGGAAACTGTCACAATGATAGATCCACATGAACTTGTGAGATCAGTTTTAATAGATGTATGTGGAAGCTGTCTTACTGTCTCTTAAATATTCCTAGGTATCAAATGTGTTTTATATTAATCTCTACCTTTTTGGGGTTACTTGCATTTTATATGGGCAATTACATATTCATAGACCAAAAAAATGAAAATGCATATTACAAGTTTTCTTATTACAGTATTATTTGTAATTGCAAAATATTTAAAACCACCTAAATACACAAATATAGAAAACTGGTTGGATAAACTAAGGCATATATTATAAACTATGGTATAGTATAAATTGTGGTACATAATGTAGTAAAATATGTAGTAGATATGAAAACAGTGAGAAACCTACTGCTATAAAAAAATGGAAAATGTCTCTACAAAATGATTTGGAAGGATTCTAGGGGTAATTTTTTAAAAAATGAAATAGAGAATACCTAACATGCCACTTTTTGTAAAAGAAAGAAAGTAACAGAGAAATGAAGGGGGTGGAAAAGGACAGGATTTTTTAAATTAAATATAAAAGCACAAACCAGAAAACAATATAGTTGGATACCTATAAGAAGAGGGTGAAGACAGGAATGTAAGGGAAGGAATGATCCTTTATCTCTTTTTGCATATTTACTACTTTTGGAAGAAAGTTCACTATTAGTATTCCAAAAATAAATTTTAAAAATGAAAATGAAGACTAAAACGGAAAGCAAACTTAATAAACCTAATGATGGAAAAAAATAAGCACAAATCCAAATAATCAATCAACGGTATTTGATCTATAACCTCAGTCTTAGGCAAGAAAGTGGAATGCAAAAAACATTCACAAAAATTTTTAGTAGTTTTTCCTTTTTCTACTGCTATCAGGTAAGCAACTGTGAAACAAATGCAAGTCCCACTTGCAGAGGGAATACTAGCTTTTCATCAAATTGATAACAATCTTCTGGTGGGCCCAAAAAAGGTTATCCAACTAGGGATGTATATCATCCTGATCATATGGGGCTACACGGTTGGACCATTAATATAAATAAGGTAAAAGGACCTAGTGTCCAGGTAAAATTCCAGGGCAAGATAAGCAAAAGACAAGACATCTTAATCCACAGGAGATGTTTGTGAATCTATTGACCCTCTCTTCCCAAGTTTAGAGAGTCTGAATAGTGGTGGGACTCTTTGACTATTGACTTTCTACCCAAAGAGATTTCATGGCACATAACTCTGGAGTTAGCATAAGTTACCATCTATTCACCATTAGAACCTATTGCAAAAAGACACAGACACAGGTCTAAGACACCCATTGGTTTTTGGGACCAGTAATTTCCCAGGGCTGACTGAAAGGTACACACACTTTGTGAGACCATTACTGACCTACTATTGCCCTTGGTGGATGCTGAGCACACGACCCATGGGTATGAAATAGTCTTATGATCAGAAATTATAAACAAAATGTATCAATAATTTTTCTTTTGTTCTTTATCTTAGGGTATTCACACTTTAAATCAACATGTAAAATTTCTACAGAATATATCCTAGCTATATCTTTGTGAGCCAAAGGGGGAAAAAAATCTCTAAAATAATATGTAGAGTTCTTTAAAATACTTACTAGTGAATCTTCCCTTTCTAGAAGTTTTTTGTTTCTCTACTTGCATTTCGGTTTTTGACACTGAATCTTCATGCCCAATCATAAGTTCTTCATCTGGTACTACATAAAGAAATACATTTAGCCCATTAAATAGAAAAAAAATATATTGTGAAATACCTAAATTTCAAATTTATACAAGTGTACAGCAGAATTTTCTCTCTTTTTGATAAAACTAAAAATACAATGTTAGATATGAAAACAGCGAGAAAAGTTTTAATGAGTGTTTTCATATGAATATTATTTCATAAACATTTATATAAATTAAATTTACTTAAATTAGTTCCAGTTTTTTTGGGTGTTTATACTTAGGCTAATACATAAACGTAGATGAAACAATAAAACACATATGCACAAGGTTACTTATTACGGCAGCAATTGTAATTCCATAATATTCAAAACTACCTAACTGTTCAAGCATAGATTACTGTTTAAGTAACTGAAGATCTGTACTGTAAACTGTGGTATCACATAAACAATGGTATATTGACACAAACGTCTGTACAAAACTGTAAAATGAATGGAAAAATTCTCCAGAAAGTGACATACAAAAATTTCCAGGAGAGACTATTAAGTGAAAAATAAAAGTTAAAAAGCAGATGTTAGTTTAAAAGCAGATCTAGTATATTACCTTTGAGGTGACAAAGAAGGGGAATTAAGGGAAAAAATAGAGAAAATTATAGACACTTACTTTTATAAAATGAAACACAGCAATGATAAACCAGAAAACAACTTACTTAAAACAGGAGGGATAAACTGAGGAATGCAGGAGTGAGGCTTCAGGGAAAAATGCTCTCTCTCTCTTAAATATTTTTATTTTTGAAGTAGGCTAATATTTCTACATATTCCAAAAACAAATTATACTAAACAAAAATCATAGTTTACAAAAAATGAAGCAACTTAAGAAATGAAGTACTGTATGGTGACTAACATAACATTTTATAAAAAAGAAATGAACCAACTAAAGGAATAAAAAGGGACTGATTTAGTTACTCATGATACAGTAATATATTCTTAGTCTTGGGTAAGAGAAATAAAATCATAAAATATTTTGTTTGTTTTTCTGACAGTATCAGCTAAAATAATTTCAGGGTCTTAGAGAATTGAGCAAATGAGTAAATATAATATATTGACAATATAAATACATGTTCTCACTTATTTGTGGAGCATAAAAAATAGCATGGAGGACAAAGGGAGTTAGAGAGGAGAAGGGAGTTGGGGGAAATTGGAAGGGGAGGAGAACCATGAGAGACTATAGACTCTGAAAAACAATCGGAGGGGTTTGAAGTAGCAGGGGGGTGGGAGGTTGGGGGAACCAGGTGGTGGGTATTGGAGAGGGCACAGATTGCATGGAGCACTGGGTGTGGTGCAAAAACAAGGAATACTGTTATGCTGAAAAAAAAATAAAATAAAAATAAATAAATAAATACATGTTCTCATAGAATGAGTTTTGAAGATTTCCTTTCATTTCTGTTTTTTAGAACAGTTTGAGGAGAAGAAGAATAGATAATAACTCTTCTTTAAATGGCTGGTAGACTTCCCCTGGGAAGATATCTGGCCCTGGACCCCAGTTTGTTGGGAGATTTTTTATTACTGATTCAATTTCCTTGCTGGTTTGGAGTCTGTTCAAATTTTCTATTTCTTCCGTTTCAGATTTTACTTTTGTTGATCTGTACTACTGTTTATTGTTCTTGTTGTTCTTATATGGTTTATTTCTCCTTTATCTTTATTATTTTCCGTCTTCTGCTAGCTTTAGGCTTTATTTCCTGTTCCCTTTTCCTTTCTTTGTTTGCTGTTCCTTTACTAATTCCTTTAGGTGTGAGTTCAGGTTGTACACTTTTTAAAAAATTTTTTAAATTTATTTTCAGCGTAATAGTATTCATTGTTTTTGCACCACACCCAGTGCTCCATGCAATCCGTGCCCTCTCCAATACCCACCACCTGGTTCCCCCCCAACCTCCTACCTGCCGCCCATTCAAAACCCTCAGATTGTTTTTCAGAGTCCATAGTCTCTCATGGTTCACCTCCCCTTCCAATTTCCCTCAACTCCCTTCTCCTCTCTAACTCCCCTTGTCCTCCATGCTATTTGTTATGCTCCACAAATCAGTGAAACCATATGATAATTGTCTCTCTCTGCTTGACTTACTTCACTCAGCATAATCTCTTCCAGTCCCCGTCCATGTTGCTACAAAAGTTGGGTATTCATCCTTTCTGATGGAGGCATAATACTCCATAGTGTATATACACCACATCTTCCTTATCCATTCGTCCGTTGAAGGGCATCCTGGTTCTTTACACAGTTTGGCGACCGTGGTAAACATTGGGGTACAGATGGCCCTTCTTTTCACTACATCTGTATCTTTGGGGTAAATACCCAGTAGTGCAATGGCAGGGTCATAGGGAAGCTCTATTTTTAATTTCTGGAGGAATCTCCACACTGTTCTCCAAAGTGGCTGCACCAACTTGCATTCCCACCAACAGTGGAAGAGGGTTCCCCTTTCTCCACATCCCCTCCACTTGAGACTTTTCATGCTTCTTTAGGTAGGCCTATATTGTTATATACTTACTTACCTCTTATGGCTACCTTTACTGTATCCTAAAGGTTTTGGATTATTGTGTTTTCATTTTCATTTGTTTCCATGTATTTTTAAAAATTTCTTCTTTAATTTCCTGGTTAACCCATTCACTCTTTTGTATGTATTTAACCACCATTTATTTGTGGTGTTTCCAAATTTTTTCTTGCAGTTGACTTCACGTTTCAGAGTGCTGTGGTCTGAATATATTCATGGTATGATCTCAGTCTTTTTATACTTGTTGATGGCTGATTTGTGACAGAGTGTGTGATCTATTCTGGAGAATGTTCCATGGGCACTTGAGAAGCATGTATATTCTGTTGCTTTAGGTTGACATGGTCTGAATATATCTGTGAAGTCCATCTGGCCCAGTGTGTCACTGATCTTCAGTTTAGATGATCTGTCCATTGCTGTGAGTGGAGTGTTAAAGTCCCCTACTATTATTGCATTATTATCAATTAGTTTCTTTAATTTTGTTATTAATTGGTTTATATATTTGGCAGCTCCCAACTTAAGGGCATAAATATTTGCAATTGTTAGACCTTCTTGTTGGATAGAACCTTTATTATGCTATAGTGTCCTTCTTAGTCACTTATTACAGTCCTTTGTTTAAAAACTAGTATTCTGATATAAGGATCACTACTCCCACTTTCTTTTGATGTCCATTAGCATGAAAAATGGTTCTCCATCCCCACACTTTCAATCTGGAGGTGTCTTTGGGTCTAAAATGAGTCTCTTATAGATAGCTTATTGATGGATCTTATGTTTTTCATCTAATTTGATACACTATGTCTTTTGATTGGAGCATTTAGTCAATTTACATTCAGTGTAATTATTGATAAATATGAATTTAGTGCCATTGTATTACCTATAAAGTTACTATTTCTGTAGATTTTTTCTTTCTGATCTTTGTTACTTTTGGGCTCTCTCTTTGCTCAAAGGATCATCTTTTATTTTTTTATTCCTTAATTTTATTTTTTCAATGTTCCAAGATTCATTGTTTATGCACCACACCCAGTGCTCCATGCAATATATGCCCTCCTTAATACCCACCACCAGGCTCACCCATCCCACCATCCCCTTCCTCCCAAAACCCTCAGTTTGTTTCTCAGAGTTCACAGTCTCTCATGATTCATCTCCCCTTCTGGTTTACCCCAATTCACTTTTCCTTTCTTTTTCCTATTGTCCTCCATGTTATTCCTTATCAAGTAAGTGAAACCATATGATAATGGATTTTCTCTGCTAGACTTATTTCACGCAGCATAATCTCCAGTCCCATCCATGTTGATACAAAAGTTGGGTATTCATTCTTTCTGATGGCTGCGTAATATTCCATTGTATATATGGACCATATTTTCTTTATCCATTCCTCTGTTGAAGGACATCTTGGCTCTTTCAACAGCTGGCGACTGTGGCCATTGCTGCTATGAACATTGGGGTACAGATAGCCCTTCTTTTACTGCATCTGTATCTTTGGGGTAAATACCCAGTAGTGCAATTTCAGGGTCATAGGGTAGCTCTATTTTTAATTTTTTGAGGAATCTCCATACTGTCAAGGGATCATCTTTAATATTTCTTGGAGGGCTGTTTTAGTGTTCATGAATTCCTTTAGTTTAATTTAGTTTAGTTTAGTTTGTTTGTTTTGTCCTGGAAACTCTTTCTTATTTGGAATGACAGCCTTCCTGGATAAAGTATTCTTGCTGCATATTTTTCCCACTTAGCATATTGAATATATCATACCAGTCCTTTTTGGCCTGCCAGTTCTCTTTGGACAGGTCTGCTGTCAGCCTTATGTTTCTATCCTTGTAGGCTAAAGACCTCATATTTGGAGCTGCTTTAAAGATTTTTTATCTCTGAAATTGGCAAACCTCACTATTATATGTTGAAGTGTTGACCTATTTTTATTGACTTTGAGGGGAATTCTCTGTGCCTTCTTGACTTGAATACCTACCAGATTAGGAATTTTCTCTGCTATAATTTGTTCAATAAACATTCAGTCTCTCTCCCTTCATTTCCTGGGACCCCTATTATGCAGATATTATTTCACTTTATTATTCATTTTGTTTGGTTTAGATTCCACATGAAATCACATGGTATTTGTCTTTCTCTATTTCACTTAGCCTGATACCCTCTAGGTTCATCCATGTTGTCACAAATGGCAAGATCTCATTTTTTATGGCTGAATAATATTCCAGTGTGTGTGTGTGTGTGTGTGTGTGTGTGTGTGTGTGTGTGTAACATCTTCTTTATTCATTCATCTATTGATGGACACTGGCTGCTTCCAGTTCTTAATTGTTCTAAATGATGCTTCATTAAAGTGGTGGATTGTTACAATGAGCGTCGTTATATGTAAGTGTTGAATCACTAAATTGTACATCTGAAACTAATATTAGACTGTATGTTAACTGGAATTTGAATAAAACCTTTTTTAGAAGTTGTAAAATAGGAAAAAACAGACAAAAAAAATCCATAGGGGTGCAGATATGTTCT